TACGATCATATCGATTTGGAAGAATGCAAAAAACGGTAATAAATTTGACTTTTTACGTGGCGTGTCGTTTGATTGCATGTATACGTTCGTTTGCCTTTTAATTCCCCAAAAAAAATTGGCGAGATCGAGTTGCCTGTGTGCGTTTATTGCATGTGAAATTGCTGATACACCTCGTCATTTTTCTGCGGTTTTGTAACAGTTTTGTATGGGAGTACTACATCGAATTTTGGTAAACACCATCGAAATATCAGGTATTTAGAATATTTAGAAATCAGTACACCACATCATAGGAAACATGTTGGTTTTGTAAAACGAATGATCTTAGCTTAACTCTTTAAGCTATGACATAATTCCTTATATAAACAAAAGTTACAGTTTCAGAATGATAAAATTACCACTGGTTTAGTTCAAACTTTTGCTACCAGTTCGGGTTGGATGGATCAAATAAATATCCTGACGAAGTAGAAATTGTTTCTGTTGTGCTGGCGCTTTCAGTCTTCTGTGGACTTCGATGAAATTTTCAAAGATACGCATGATTTTACTCAAACGCTCATTGCTATCCATGTAATCCAGAACTTGTGCTCAGACAACGAGGAGTTTTATTCCAGGGGGATTATTGTAACAAATACTCCAGATGTGCTGACAGAAGTAACGGCTGAAACAACGGTTGCCTTGCTGTTAGCAACAGCACGACGACTTCCTGAAGCTGTCAATGAAGCAAAAACTGGCAAGTGGGGTGCCTGGTCTCTATACTACATGTGAGTGGTTTATGACTGATAGTAATGGCGTAGTTAGAGTTCTTCTGCGCTAAAATAAGTGTTTTTGCTGATGATGGCGAAAAGTTGCAGCATCAAAAAACACTTTTTCTTTACTGACCAACCTTTGCTAAGAGAAAGCTAAACCATAATACGTTTTTTAGCTTAAATAGTGTGGTTTTACAACCACAGACGCAGGTGTGATTTTCACTTTTAAATTCTGTAAATCCATTAAGCATTTCCGAACCGTTCTTTTTGCCTTGAAACCTAGTAAAGAAAACAAAAGTCGTGGTTTAGAATAGGGTGGGAATAATTGCACAGACCAGTTCTAAATCCACTGAGGATTGTGAATTCACACCGCTTAGACATTCCCCAAAGTTAATGCATTTTATCAATTCAGGGGTCATTCTTGTGCCTTAGTATACGCAGCTGATAGTGAGAATTAGCACTTTGAAGCTTTCTAGAACAGTGAAATGAGGTGCTGCTCTTCAAATCGTGCATAGCGAAAAGGCTGAAAGAGCGAGTACTGAGCGTGCGAATTTTTCGTATTTTTTTGCCTCAATTTATGTGAAGGAATTCAAGAAAACGGTCAACAAAATTGCTTCAAGAAGTGATTTTGTTCTTGGAAAATTCCTTCAACTCACTGTTCAAATCGTTCACACATGTGAAGTCTCACCTTGCAAGGAATGATTAACAGAAAGCGCAACAAGCAGAAATGGGTGAGATTTAGAGTGGAAACGGAAAGGTGCGAGGGAAAGAGGGATGGGCAGGGGACAGAGGTAGGCCGCTATCCCTGGCTGATTTTCCGAAAAACTGGTATTAAAAATTTAACATTTTTACCCAGTGTATTGCATATTTGTAGTATTAGGTGTTAATAAATGAGTAAAAAATTATTTTTCAGTATACCTTCAAAAGTACTGAAAGTACGTCCAATTTGTATCTTGCCCTGTTCGTATCACCTTCGAGAAATTTTCAGCTGCGCCGCTGCTGTCCATTATGTACACAACTGCGCTTGCTTCCACAGTGTAGACCCTTATCAGCTTGAAAGACCAGGCTTTTTTCAGGTGTGGTGTTGGTGTGCACCAGTCAACCGTCGGTATTGTTGGCATGGGCCGTATTGGCGTATCAGTTGCAGAAAAACTGAAAGCATTTAAACCCGCGCGCATGCTTTATCACAACCGCAAGCCAAATAATGAAAGTATAGTTCGTTACTTCCCTACAAATTCTTACAGAGTCGCTTAAAAAGGTAGCATTCGCCTATGTCTGTGGATAGACTTGCAGCACAGAACTATTTGAATAAGATTTGGAAACATGGTCCCACAGGCCCCGGTGATTTTACTGGCTATTGAATTACCATAAATTCAAACAGTTCGATGCACCTTGTTTCAGTATATGTCATCGTTTTTTGTCCATTGTTGAATTTTCGTGCACAACATTACCGGGGCCTGAAGGACGCAGAAAACTTACTTTCAACAAGGAGGCTCTTCGCCGTAACAGTTGCAAAGTTGTCCAGGCAAAATGAAACGATTTTAAATAAAATTCAATCTGGTAATTTCATGTTCCGCGCAGTAGACTTGCTTTTATTTTAGAAAACTCTGCTTAGTTTTTCCTGCCTTCTAAAATAAATCTTACTTCTGCTTGTGAGCTTTTCAAATTCGTCAGTTTTCAGTGTTTCTAGATAATAGCCAGCGTTGGATCCGCCGTCCTTCTTTGTTCAGCTAAAGTCTGCGTCTTTTACGTCTATAGAGTTTCAGTCTTATTAGTTCGGAAAGCCCCTTTCCACACAGGCCACTGGCTGCCAAATAGCGCTAGAAAAACAGCTGTCCAATGTCTCTGCAATCACTGCGATCGGAGTACCAGGAAATGAACTGTTCGCAGAAGACGATGACATTAGAAGCGTACCTCATCACAGTCCTCATTCCACCTTCCTCTCACTTCTTCTGGCGGATCCAGGGGAGGGGAGGCCGAGAGGTCTTTCATCCCCCTCCCCCCAGGAGCCTTCGAGGGGGGAGGAGTGTAGTGAGGCGACTGGGAGGGGAGGGAGGGGGAGAGGGAGGATAGTGCGGCGTGTGAAGGGTGGGTTGGAAGCTGCCCGAGGGGGGAGGGGGAGGGGGTGTGGTGACGAACGAAGAAGGTGAGGTAAAAAATCGCCCCCCCC